GTGTGTGTGTGTGTGTGTGTGTGTTGCGCAGAGCCTCAGCATCAGAAAGGAGCAGGGGCCGGGGATTTAGCTCAGTGGTTCTGCTGCCTGCCTCGAAAGCGCAAGGTCCCGAGCTCGATCCCCGGTACCAAAAAAAAAAGAAAGGAGCAGGGCAGTGGCTCTCAGCCTTGTGGCCTCAAAACCACTTTTCACCCTGAGAAAGTGCTGAAGCCCCCAAAGAGCTTTTGCTATGTGACTCATACCTGTTGACCAAATCAGAAATTAACACTGACTTATTATAAGGGTTAACTCAGTATAACTCACTCACTATAATGTAACCCATTTTTAATGAAAAATAACTAAATTTCCCAAAAGAACAAAATTTAGTGAGAAAAACATTTAGTTTTACATTTTTGCAAATCTCTTAAGTCAGGCTTAATAGAAAACACCTGATTTCTCATTTATCTGCTTCCATATCCACTCTTGCTGTTTGCTTTTCTGATAGAAGTATATGAAAAATATCCATCACAGATTTATGGTTATGTTTCAACAAACTGTTCACATAAGTGTGGATACATCTCATGCCTCTGGAAAACCCTACTGTGTGCTCTTAAGTTCATAAGCCAAATAACATCTTAGCAGTAATGGGACATTAATGGGTCCCTTGGGTATCACTTAATGGAAGCCCCAGGAACTTGGAGGGGAACTAGAAGAATTGTGACAATCGAGAATTATTTCTGGTTTGTACTTTAATCATTATTTTATATTTGCTTCTATTCACATAATGAGAAAAAAACATTCTTCTGGGAGTATAGCTCGGTGGTGAATTGTCTGCATTCTGTGCAAAGGCCCTAGTTCACTTCTCAACCTCAAAGGAAAGAGGAAGAAAACCAGGACTAAACGTCTGTAGATCATGTGACAAAATTTAAGCCAGTTCTCTTTTTATTAAATAGTGTTGAATATCTCTGCATGTCGGGTATAACAGTCAGAGTGATGTTGGTGGTAAATGACAAAAATCCCTACAAATATGTAATTGCTTAAAAGCAGTTTATCAGCTCACAAAACTAAAAAGACAAAGCATAATCCAAGAACAAGCTGGTTCCCCACAGGGACTTCCAGTAGAAATTTGAGTTCTTCTCTCATCCTTCCACAGAGGTCATTGCTTTCTCATTCATGCCTCTAGGGAAATAGCTTTGTCGTCTTTGTGGCCAGAATCCTGAGACTTACTCTGAATCTGTGTACATATGTGTGTCTGCCCTAAAGTAGAGCTGTGACTGGAGAAATGTAGCTTGCTAGTTGACTAAAATTGAGTCAGGTGCTTTGTTTTTAGAACCTCATAATGTCCTGCACCAAAGTCTGGGCTGTTGGGGAGAGTGCTGAGGAGGCAGCTGTATTGACCATCATACTCAGCTCGGATCTTTAAGTTATTCCCATGACAAAACAAGCCAGACACTTGTAAAAACTGGGAAATCAAAATTGAAATGATTGATGAAAATAAGTCATTGAGGTGCAAGGGCAAATGTGTAAGGAGCAGTGGATGTGGAAACATTCAGATTGAAAAACTAATACATACGTATAAATCCCCTGACCACTGTCTGGGAGGTGGGAGCAGCAGCACCTGGGGACCTTCTTAGGTAAAAGGAGCTGAAATGGCCTCAGGGGCCTTGTAAACAGATTATCAGTAAGTAGATATACCAGCCAGTCTTAGAGACCTCACCAACACTTGGTAAGTCATTTGTGCCGAGATGATGGATCTATCCAAGATGCATGAGTGAAACTGTATCATGGGTCCTGTGTTTCACAGTTCAGGTAACATCTCATTTGTTAATTGTCAAGGAGGTAACATTTTTGGATTCTAAAGTCTTTTGTTCCCTGGTTATATTTTAGGCTGCTTTAGTGTATTTAGGTACAATTCAGTAAGAGATCTATTTACGTAAAAGGAAGTTGCTGGAAAGAAATATGTGTGTTCTGTCACTGTTGAGTAGAAACAGTAGACCCTGTACTTCAAGTTTCCAGAGACTTTAAACAGACTGTTGCTGTTTGAGGGAATAGGATCTAACTTTTCATTTGATGGCATTATTTTTAAAAGAACCAGTGTTGTACTGCAGCATAACAGTTAAAGTAAGGTCTTCAGCGTTAAACTCCAGGTCAGCAAAATAGTTAAATCAGTGTAGCAACTTAATGGACCCCTGCCATTGTTACAAAAATGCAGGCAACATTAATTTCCATTGTCTTTTTGGTAGTAAGAACACAGATCGTAAAAAATAATTGGCCAGAGTTTTATAATTCACAGAGGCTTAGTTCATAATCTTATTTAACTACCCTGAAAATCTTTGTATTTTTTTCTGTACAACTCAAAACCAGTATTGTTTCCTTATGTTTCATTTTTGTTTTGAACAGCTGAACTGCAGAGAAAGCCTTCATTGGTGAAAGACTCCCTAAATGTAAGTAACTGTAATGGTAGTGATTTTGGTGGTGTTGATAGTTTTGTTGGAGGGGCTGTCTGCTTCTCCTTAGGAGTCAGAATGCTGTTGAGAGTGTGCTCTGCCCTCACGTTCAGACACTGACAGTGGGGCTTACTTGCCTTTTCCTTATTTACCTGTCGTTACTGATGAACTCTGAACTATCTGGTTTTATTATTATAATAGAATTGAAAATTGAATTGTAGTGTCTGAAATCCCCCTGGTGCTGTAGACAAAATAGTTTACTGTTTGAGAATTAAAGTTTACTTTATCCTTTTATTTTTACTTTTTTGGTACCGAGGATCGAACTCAGGACCTTGCTCTGGCCCCACTTTATCCTTTCACAAAGCTCATCTGAAGACCATAATTACAATATACAAAGTGGATTTCCTTTTTTTTTTTTGCCTTACTCACTGAATTTCTGGGGAAGCTATTATAGTACTGGGGGTGAACATTTTGAAACACTTTCGAATCCCAGGCAGCCACATTTTCTTCAGTTCCCTTAGAGCTGGGCAGTCTTTGATGACTCACCACTGTGGGACCCTAATGCCTACCTCACCTCATTGAACCACTTTTTGTAGCTAGAGGCTTGCATGTTCGTTCTCTGCTGACAAAGAAGGAAGAGAAAAGCCCTGCTTAGCATGGTTCAGGTCTGCCGTCTCGAAGTAATCTTGGGCTGAAACCTGTGTTACCAGGCAGCATGTATTCCCTCCTGTCTCACACCCTGCATCGCCAGCAGCCCTATCTCCAGAGCAAACCTGCACATAGGCAGGGAGTTCTGTAGCTGGGACTTGGAATGTTGTAATGGATTTTAAGATGTTCCCCTTCGGTTTAAAATAAATTTAAAAAGTATGATTGACAAGATTGGCTGGACAGGGCCGGGGGCGTTAGCGCAGTGGTGCTGCCACCTGCCTCAAAAGTGCAAGTTCCTGAGTTCGATCCCTGGTACCAACAAAACAAAAGCAAAAAAAGATTGACTGGATAGTTAGTCCTATGGGAAAATCCTTTAAGAAGTTTTTTTTTTTTTGGTGCCGGGGATCAAACATGGGTCCTTGCACTTGTGTGGCAGGCGGCGGAACCACTGAGCTATATCCCCAGCCCCTCCTTTAAGAGTTGTTGAAGAAAGAAATGAAATCATGAGAACTCTTTGGATCAGAAAGGAATTTATAAAATTCAGAAATTTTCCTCTTAATTCTTTTTTGCAAAAACCATTTTGAAGATGAGAATAAGCATTGAGAGATTAGATTGAAATATTTTCACAGGGGCAGTGTTTTTATGCTTATGAGCTTCTGGGTCCATTGAAAAGAACATGTATTCTAACTTCTTTTGGAATTTCCACAGACAGCCAGATTATGTAAATTCTCCTTTCCCCACTACCTTTAAGCATTTTGCGAGACTATCCATAAATAACCCTTTATTTTGTACATTTAGGTTGAGAACTTAGGCTCACAAACAAATGAAGAAATTCATAACCAACTTTGTAGCAAAGGAGGTAAGTTAATGGATTTCTTAGTATTAATTTTAATATTACAATGACCATTTTTGAGAGTCAAGCTCTGTGTTAATAATCTAGTGAAGTGAGTATTAAGCATCACCTCTGTAGTTGAGGAAAGTGAAGTTTACAGAGATCAGATGACTTGTTCAAGGCTGTGCAGGTGAGAGGTGGTTCCTTGCTTGAAGTAGCTATTAGAACTTCGCCGGGAGCCTCACAGTGGAGTTGATCTCCCTTGAGTACAAAATGCGTAGTCCCCTGTGGTCTCTACCATCAAAGCCTGGAAATTCTGTGCTAATATTCACCTGCACATTTGTTAACTTCTGACAGTTAGGTTCGGTATGGGAGTGGATCAGGGTTACCACCTTTGGTGGGTCTTCTCCCAGGGCTGAGACCTCACTGTACACAACCTGTATGGATCACCAGCTCCACCCAGAATGGAGGATTTTGCTGGTTCCTAATGATTTTGTTGATTCTCTTTTCCAAGCATGGGGAAAAGAGGGTCTAATCGTCATACCTGTATTTTATAATATATCATACTTAAAAGTATAATAGTGGTAATTGTAAACTCTTGTACCCATTACCTAATTTAATCATATCTTAAAGTCTAGCATATTTGATTCACACAGAAAATGTTGCAAATATAGTCAAATTCCTTAATATTCCTCCCCAGTCTTTCTCTTTTATCTCACTCCAAAAGGAATTCTGCATTTCATAGATAAAATTTCTAGGTACATAAATAATGTATGGCATATTTTGCCTTACATGAACAGTACCACATTATATAAAGGATCTCCACTGTAGTTGCTCACTTGAAGTATTCTTAGATTTTGTCCTGTTGATTTGTAGAACTCTTAATTGCTAGTTTGGGGCTGGGGATGTGACTAATGGTGAAGCACTTGTCCAGCATGCATGAGGCCCTCTGTTTGATCCCAGCACCATAAAATCACAATATTAATTGCTGGTTCATATTCCATGGTGTAAATAAATCAGTTATTTTTTTTCACAATTTTTCCAAATTACAAACGGTGCTTCTTCGCATGCCCCTGTACCTGTTTCCCAAAACATGTAGCTGTATCTCTGAGGTGGAACTGCTCAATTACAGGCAGCTCTTCAGTGTCCTAGATGTGCAGCTGTCACTCTGCATCTTTTCTTTACTCGATATTGTTAGACTGCTCCTATTTGCTAATCTGATGACCGTAAACCAGTATTTCTTTGTTTTCCTCGGACATTTTTTAATACTGGGATGCTACACAAGCTCAAGGGAAAGGCCTTGCAGTCTGAGTATAAATCCAGTTTGCAGTCCTAGACATGTTATTTCCCACACTGAATGCCATTTACTCACAATAGCAAAAACCAGAAGAGACCTGACAGTTTGTTGGGAAGATCCCATCCAAAATCATTTGTTCACTGTCCACTGCAGTGCCTCATATGTAACTGGTACTCAGTAAAACTACTATATCTGCTTTCCCACACACACCTAAAAAATATAATGGAATAAAAATATTTTTAAGTATTTAAGACTTTTTTCTTTATTAAATTTACTACTCAGAGATATCCAGTGACAGAAAAGACAACACAGAAACCACAAGAAGTCACAGTGTTGAAGCAAACCCTAAAGAGGTATGTTTTCATAATAAGCTCAAGCATTTCATGTTTAATAGGTGGTATTTTCAGCTGAATGCAAAGAGAAGCTTTAGAAACGCTTTACTTCTTTGTATAAATTAAGTATTAAATGGATGTGTTAAGAGTTCTGCAAATCACTTTTACCTGCTTATGCTGTGTGTGGTAATATTTAGGTAATATGGCAGGTCCCAGGATTATTTGGAAATGTCCATATTATATGACCAAAATGTGTTTTCATCTACTATTTTTCATCAACTGTAAGAAGGCCATTTTTAGTAGGCCACTAAAAGACCAGAAAAACACTACTGATTATAATATGCCATCAATGTAACACATGACTTTAGAGATTAGAAAAAAAAATTTTTTTTAAGCATGTGTTTCAGATTTGTTGAAATGCAGTATGTAATCAGAAACAGATTTGGATTTTTATAAGGATTTGCATTCAAATCCAGAAAAAGACTCAAGGCTTAGAAAATTAGTCTTATCTAAGTTTGGATGTCAAAAATGTTGAGATATTTTTATTTATATAGCAATTTATTCCGAAGGGTTTTACCCTTAGATATTATACATTTTCTTTCAGTTGACTTGGTCTAGATTCTGTTGCATTTAACATGGTCACTTTAATTCCAGGTTGAAGAGGAAGAAGGGCATATCTCTAAAAGAAAGGGAACAAAGCATTACCCATCCTCAGAAGATGAACTGGGTATTTCATTTGCACACTTGAATGTGATTAGTATGAATGACAGAATAAAATTTTAATTGTTTTTTAATTTTATATTTCAATAATCACCATTATTGAACAGTGTAGGGTCCTTTCTACCTACACAAGGTAGAAATTAAATGAGTACTTGTTGAATGAATATATAATAAAATAGGTTAAATAATTTTTCTTTTTAGTTAGGAGCATAGGATTACCTTATTGTAATTTGTTGAGTTTGTGTTCTCTTCGTGTACTACCCATGGTATTTTGTGTACATTCCCAGTTTATCTTTATAGCAATCCTATGAGTTAGGTGCCATCACCATTTAACAAATAGAGAAATTAAGGCTCTTGGCGATTATGACTTGACTTCAAGCTAATCTGATTCCAGAACCACAGTCTCGATCACTAACTAAGCTCTGCCTCCTCAGCTGATTGCTCATTCAGAAAGTGTCCCTGGGGACTCTCACCAAGTCCCCCCCTTTTTTTGGTATCATGTTAGCACTTCAGGATTTTTTTAATGATATATATATATTTATATAATTTTTTTCTTTCTTTTACTTTACCAGAGCCAAAGCCCCATGTTTGGTGCCCAAATCATATGACTTTTTAAATATTATTAAAATAACTTTGACTTTACTGTATTGCAGGCCTCAAACTGTCTTAAAATAGAACAGTGTGTTTCATTTTTCATTTAGTTTTTATTGTTTTGTGATTCTGTCTAAATTGACTTACAGATGATCATCCAGATGTCCTAACAGAAGCAGCACAGAGACAGTGCTGTGAAACTGAGCCACAAGACACAAAGGTACTCCTCCTGCGTCTAGTTTTGGGGGTGACCTAATTACATCACTGTGAATAGTTATGATAGTTTTTCAGTCTAGTATCCCTTTTACTATTAGTGTAGCAAAACGATACATATCTTTTTATTACAAAACGTGTATTTTTGCCGGGGATGTAGCTCAGTGGTTTCGCCGCCTGCTGCGCAAGCACAAGGACCTGAGTTTGATCCCTGGTACCAAAAAAAAAAAACGTGTAGTTTTAGTGCCCCCTCACCAAAATTTACTTTATGATTCTTTAACTAGGGGATTGTATTGATGTCACAGTTTAGATATAATGGTTGCCTAGATTTTTGTTCAGTAGTATTGTTGATTTCTTGAGGTTCCTAGATGCTTTATTCCAAAATATAATGTGCTTTCATCCCAGATATACTTGCACCAAAATATTGAAATGCAGTGATTCCCATTACTGTGAAATATTAATACTAGACCTTCTTTCTAGCTTACCTCCTGCTCCTGAAATGTAGGCACTTCCCGGGTCAGTCTCACTCGTTGCCTTTTCTCATGATCTGATTTTTGTCTTGGGGCTCAGATAACTATCTCACAGATTTTTATTTCTCTTACTGCTCTCTTGTTCTAGACCTAGATTTCCTCATATCCTCCTAGACACCTCTTCATGGATGATGTTCTTTCACTTCTGAGACCCTAACCCTAATATACTGTGAAGGAAATAATTTAAATAAAATTAAAAATAATAGAAAGGAAGATTTCCACTTATTTATAATCAGCCATTTAGAAACAAACTTAAAACTTAGTTTAGTTTTTTAATGTAGCTTCATCTTAATTTATATAGTTAATACTATATTAGTATGGTAGCAGAAACATTTTGGTATTTAATGCTCGAAACTATTCTGTGGCTCAGGGTAGATAATTTAGCTGTTGAGTGATCACTGCTCTGCATTATTCCATGTGGATACCCATTAATCTCTTGGCACTTTCTAACTTATCCCTTCCCTCTAGTTGCTCCCTGTCCACTACTCCTCAGGGAAAAAATATCTGTTGCCAGTTTCTATGAATTCATTCTTTGGCCTTGAAAGTCCAGGATGAGACAGGAAAAGAGTAATTTCTGTTCTGCAGGAGAAACAGTTATAGCCATACCATTTTATACTTGAATCTTATGTCAGGCTTTTTGCCTTCAGGATTTTTTTTTTCTTTTCCTTTTTTTTTTTTTTAATACCAGGAATTGAACTCAGGGCCTTGCACTTGGCAGGCAAGCGCTGCACCACTGAGCTACATCATGGCCCTTTTTTTTCCCCCATAGACTCTCAAGCAGCAATAATAGTTACTTTCTACAAAATATTTTCCAACAGCTTACTCTAAAAGAAAACTAGGAAATTGTTTTTGAAGTAGAAAGGAAAACTTTGCAGAGGGTGAATGGGGGCAGACTAAGTTAGAAGAAAACATCTCTCGTTCAACCTCTTTGTAGGAGGAGGCCTCTGGAGATTTCGAAGGACTGTCTAGAACGAATTCTAAGGCAAACAGCACTATTTCCAGGGCCGTGGAAGACAAAGGTGAGTAAAACATCTCCTAGATAAATTAGGAGACTAAGCCTTCAAAGCAGCCAGCATCTCTCCCCTGGGCTTCACCAGCAGAAGCATCTGTTTGCCTCTTTGGGTCTCTGTGTACGACACAGAAGGTTTTTAATTTGCACCCTGATCCTGCTCCACTCAAGTGTGCTTCTCACTTAACCGAACTCAGAAGTGTGTCGGTGGAGTGGTGTGCGTGTGTGTGTGTGTGTGTGTGTGTGTGTGTGTGTGTCTGCCACTGTGACTGCGACGGCCCTGGGCGGCAGTGAAGGCTGCCCATGGTCACTAGGGCGCACTGAGCTCTGCCTTTTCTGCAGATGAATGTAGCAGCAGTGAGGCTACTGGTGAGAAGACGGAACAGAATGAAGATGACAGCATCAAATCACAAGAGGTGAGACCGCTCTCCATACTTATTTTGCTCAGAATTATTTAAGTACTGAGACTTTTTTTTTTTTTTGAAGTGTTATGGGACACCATTTCATTTTCTTTTTTTTTTGTACCGGGGATCGAACTCGGGTCCTTGTGCTTGCGCAGCAGGCGGCGAAACCACGGAACTAAATCCCAGGCCCTGGGACACCATTTCATACAGTGCATTTTATCAGTGTCATTATGATTAATTTTGTTCACTTTGTTTCATCAAAACCTTTCTGGAGACCTACTTATGTCCCGGCCACATAAGGATGGCGGACACTACGCCAGCCAGTGGCAGTGGCAGGCTCCTGGCCCTGCAGCTGAGCACTGCCGGCCAGCTGGCAGGACAGGAAGAGGCAGGAGGCTGGCTGCCCGGGCCATGAGTCCCACCAGAAGGGTGTGAGAGCAGCAGCAGGAGAGCCTGAGGAGACCCAGTTTCAGGAGGCAGGGTCAGGGGTTCCAGGGAGGCTGCAGGCGGACCTGCCAGCTCCAGGCCCGTTCACCTTTACAGGAGCCGTGGAGCAGAAAGTGGAAGTGCCCTGAGACAGGGTCTCTTGAATGCAGGGACACAACCATTGCGGAGTTTGTCAGGTTTTTAATGGTTCTTTATGTTTTTTAATACTTCTGTATGAGACTCAGTAGACCCCTTTTTTACACAGAGTAACATTTGATCACAAGCAACTTGAACTAAATCCCATTTTAAATGGGCACATACAATTCTTAAAAAGTAAGACATGACACCATTGAGTACTCACTTCTATAATCCTCACCACTGGGTGTGTTCCTGTGAGAGTTACCAGTATTTATCAGGAGTGGGAACTGCAACAAAAGAAAGAAAGAAGACACTACACCCAACATCACTTGTTTCTTAAGTAACAGAGCTGCTAATTGAGCCCTCTTAGGAGGAATTCTGAGTCTCATTTTGAGAAAACAAACTATTTGTATAATAGAGGACAAAATTATTCCTTAATTGCTGGTTTTGTTTTCATTTCCCTTTTAGGAAGATCAGCCAATAGTTATTAAAAGGAAAAGAGGAAGACCTCGTAAATACCCTGTGGAAACAGCAATAAAAACAAGTAGGTATTTGGTATGTTTTCAGTTCATATCCTAGAAATTGTTGAAATGAGTTTTCTAAGTGAGTTTTTTGCTTGTTTTTTTAGAAGAAGACTCCAAAACAGACACTGGTATTGTTTCTGTAAGTAATTGCAAAAGATGAGAAAGAACTCTTCAAATACTTGCTCTTGACCTGGAAAGTGAATAGTAGTATAATATTTAGTATTTGAACTACTTTAAGTATTTGAACAGCTTTAAAAGCTTTTCTTCAATAAATCGTGGGCTATTCAAATAATATTATAATCAGTAATATCTTTATATAAACAGAATTGTATCTAGAGACTTACCTTATTATAGTGAATGTTGATTAAAATACAGAAATTTGCTCTTACATGATTTTGAGATAGTGGCTTTTTACGAAGACTTCTGAGAAGTCTTACCATCTTACTACTGTCTGTAGTACTATTTTTATAGTACAGTGTGTACTCATTACAGTAAAGGAGAATCCTTTCTGATGCTTCGTCTTTTTTTGACAGTCTTTACTTTGGGCCCTAAAGTATATACCCAGCAAAATCATTGGGTCAAGACTTCATTGCCCGCATTTCAATGACAGCATTGTAAGGAGGACAGACGTTTGTCCACTGACCTAATAGAAGCACTTGGGATTCAAGCGTCAGCTTTGCCACTTACTTTCAGACCTGTGACTGGGGGGCAGTTATGTGACACTCAATTTCCCTGGTATAAAGATACCTACAGTGTCACTGTCACAGAATTAGCATAAGACACCAAACCAGAGAGCCGCTTGCAAGCTTACTGGCCAGCAGGTGAGCTGGTTAACTGGACTGGGGAAGGCAGCAGTCGTGGCTGACAGCATTGTCTTCGGCGCTCATCCTTCAGCATCACAGCAGGTAGCTGGGGAAGAGGCCTGTGGCAGAGACCATGTGTTCGGAAGCATTAGGCTTCTCTGTTTGCTAAGTGTACTTAGCCAGCTGCGGAAAATTAGTTCCAAACATTCTGTCTACTAATAAATAGAGCTCTAATAAATAGTTTACCTTTCTGTGTGATAACAAAAACCTGCTCATTTCAATGTTTTGTTCATTTGAAATTAGGTAGAGCAGTCTCCACCTAGCAGCAAACTGAAAACGACACAAGCAGGTATGTTCCCAGAGCATTTCCCCTTGTATGGTCTAAGGAACTGGGTGTGCTTTCAGTCCACACAGGAAATTTTCAAACGGACTTCATAAGTAGTATTTTTTCATAAGTGAGCCTGGGAGGCAGGCTGTTGGGGAAAGTTTTCAACTTCCATTCTGTTTCTCAATGATGAGTGGACTTCTTGGTAAAAATTGTCCTTAAAGCCATGACTAACTCTTATTTCTGTCTTTTTCTGTGATCTGACATTTTCTTGGTTTAAGAGGCCTAGGAAGCCTTCATAGAGGAGAGTAAAGCTAACAAAACCAAAATAGTAAAAGCACTCCCTCCATAGAAAGAACTTGCACTGCGTGTCCAAAGCATCTTAAGAAAAATTAGATCACTCTGGTATTAGACGCTATCATCAAGAATGCACAAATTTAACTCAAAACATGTTGTTCTCAGAGGAATAACCATTTTGAAAGCAGGTGTGCAACTAACTTCCACACCTTGAATCCAGGACTCAAGAGATGAAGTCATTTTGAGTATTTTGCCATTTCCAAGCAGGAAAAAAATATTCCAAAATGTTGATAACTATCAGCTCTGGGTGGCAAGGGTGATGGCCTCATTCCTTATTATGTAGTCGTTGCAGGCAGTTTCCAGATATTTTTCAGTGTATATATATTATTTCATGGTTTGAAATTTTTAACATAAAAACAAGAGCAATTTGTGGGCTTTAAAGGCTTGACTGAAGCAAAAGGGGAGCTAGGCACAGTGGTACCCACCTGTAATCTCAGCTACTCAGGATGCTGAAGCAGGACGATCACAAGTTCAAGATGAGCCTGGGCAATTTAGTCCCTAAAAAGGGCTGGGGATGTAACTCAGTGTTAAAATGCCTCTAGGTTTGATCCAAGATAAAAAACAAAAGTGAAAAGGATGAGTGTGACAGCTCTTTTCATCAAATAAATAATACAGAGTCAGCTTAGGAAAGTATAAAATCTATCAGCAAGATAAAGCAAATGTATATGTAATATCTGTATAAAAGTTCTACACTTCACTATGTGTGAACTTTTGATTATACTTCAGTTTTTCTTGTCTCTTGATAAATTAATAGTTTGTTTTTTAAAGGAGGGAAAATTCTACTTATGTTTGGTTTTTATTAAGACTTCTAAAATATTTTAAATCTGTACAAAAAAATCTTCATAACTCATGTGCTTTTTACAGATTCCGGTGTGAGCTCTGTGACTTATATTATGGGGTTATTTGACAGTATCTTTCTGGATCTGGGTAGTGATTAGAAGTGGAAGCAGACTTTCTGCTGACCTTTTTTTTTGGTACCAGGGATCGAACTTGGGACCTTCTGCTTGTGATTTAGCTAAATCCCCGGCCCTTTGCTGGCCTTTTTATTGGCTAACTTCTCCATCTTCATTAGCATATTGGTCTTGCAGAAAAGGGCAACTGCTGCCTATAGTTTTCATCATTAATAAGAATTACTGTTGAGGGCTGTGGATTTAGCTCAGTGGTACAGCGCCTGCCTCACAAGTGCAAGGTCCTGAGTTCAATCCTTTGTACAAAAAAGAAAGAATCACTGTTGAATTTTTTAATGTCTGTCAAACATGCTCATCATTTTAGCTTCAAATATTGCATTGATTAATCTTTGTTTTTCTTACCAAGATTCATTCTCAGAAAATTGTAATCATCTCTAGAAAACATGCATAATGAATAATAATACATTACCTATACACTGGCCTATAGTGTGTACTTTTTAATTGCCATGATATATTCGGAGTCAAAAGAATTCAGCTGTCACTTAGAATAATAGTTGTGTGAATCTGAACAAAGTATGGAAATCAAGTTACTGAAGTCTGATTTTTCCAAACTATTATACTTATAGAACTTCATTGAGATTCAAAAGAAGCATAGTTCACGAGACTTTAATCCAAAGTCTGAAATGCTCCAAAACCCAAAACTGGGCCAGGGATTTAAAGCTCAGTGGTTTTGCCGCCTGCTGCACAAGCGCAAGGACCCGAGTTCAATCTCCGGTACCGAAAAAAAAATAAAAAGAAATCCAAAACCCAAAACTTTTCAAGTACCAGTATGACACCACAAGTGGCCAATTCCACACCAGGTCTCATGATAGGGCTTCCTCTGCAGTCCAAATACAGGCACACTTAAAAATTGCATAAAATTGCCTCAGCTTATGTTAACAAAGTATATGTGAAATATAAATGAATTTCATGTCTAGACTTGGGTTCTGTCTCCAAGATACTTCAAATATATGCAGATATTCAAAATTATGTAATAGGAAAATCCCTGGTCCCAAGCATTTTAGATAAGCGATACTCAGCCTGTGGGTTATCACACCCTGTGGTCCCCGCTCCATTTTGGGGGCCCCCTACACACCCCCTTCCCCCTCCCCTTCCTTTCTGGGTTGGGAATATCTTACAGATGAAGATACTGAGGCTTAGGAATTTTGAATAATTTACTCAGATCACATAACTTATTCGTCACAAATCTGAAATGAAGACTTCAGTCTCTGATATGCTCCCTGCTAGGTATTTTCATTTTGTCTGTACTTGACAACCGATACAAGATAGTGATAAATTATATATCAAAATTATTAATTAGCACTGGTACATTAACAGATAACAAGCCAGACTTGACTATTGAATCTAATTTTATCATAATAAGTATTAATACAGAAATTTTCCTTTTCTTAAAGATGAGTCCAGTAAAGAAACAGCTAACCTACAAGAAAGAAGTACAAGCAATGTAAGTGTTAGTTTTCTGATCAAGATACCTCCTTTAGAAGAGAGCTTAATAAATACTCAGTTGACCGCACTGTCAACTTTAATTTTATCTCTTCTAGGATGATGGTGAAGAGAAAACAGTAGCAAGTGCTCGTCGGAGAGGAAGAAAGCCCAAACGTTCACTCACCCTGTCAGATGATGCTGGTACAGCCTCAGCATATTCTCAATCCCACAGTCTTATTATTTCAAGGTCCCCTTTTTTTTAAGAGTTTTTCTTTGAGTGAGAAAAAAAATCCAGTGGGATAGTTAGTATTAATATTGCACAAATATGTGTGAAATAGCTCTAATCCTGTGTCAGAAATGCTACATTCCAGATGTTTTTCTGAGTACATGTGAATTTTTCATCAATGCTGGCTGTGAACTACATAAGTAAACTATCCCAAATGTGTTTGAGATTAAGTTAAACAGTTGTGACTTGCAAGTGCTGAAACTAAAAGGAAGTGGAAAACCACTTCTTCTGCCTCCAAGTCCCTAATATCCTAAGTTCTGAGCTCTGTGACTCTCCTTTGGAAGTGTCTTTGGGAATTGTACATTCCAGGTGTTACTATTCTATCTGAACAGAATCCTCAGAGCCAGAAAGAAAACGCCAGAAATCGATCTCTGAATCAACTGAGGACAAAAAAGATCAGGAGTCTGATGAGGAAGAGGAAGAAGAGGAAGAGGATGAACCCTTGGGAGCCACCACTCGGTCCACCACCAGATCAGAGGCGCAGAGGTAATGGGGTGACCCACAGCTGCCACAAAGCTGTACTGCCTGTCCACCGGAATGAGCTCCAGCTTTTGGGGGATTCTCTCCCAAGTGCCCAGCTCCTGCCCTGCAGGGAGCTGTTTGCTTTCTTTCGCTTTATCTTCGGCGGAGGGCATGTGCCCTCAGCCCTCTGCCAGTCTGCATCTTCTCCGAGAGCCCATTCTCTGTCCTCAGTTATTATGGGGGTCAGTCATTTCAGAGTCTGCAGGGTTCAAATGGATGTTTGGTGGAAACCATCAATTTTGCTAATCTTTTTTGAGCACCTCCTGTCTCCAACATTGTACTGAGCTCTGTGAGTATAGAGACACAGAAGAACGACCCCCTCACTCAGCATGCTTAACCTCAGGGAGCAGGGGAATCAGGCACACGCACACTGTCGTCACTTACACCAGTCATAGGAAATTGCCCAAATTTGGCCATTTTTATACTCAGGTAAATGGTATTTCCAAATGTTCCCTGAAGTGTGTTCTCTCGAGCCCTAGTAGAGCCAGAAGCCTCTGGGGAAGAAGAGTAGATGGTCAGACAAGTTTGGGAAAGCCAGGGATTCTCTCTGCTCTCTTAATCATAGTCCACATTAAAGTATTGAAGGCCCCGCAGAGCCTAAAGGAAGGCAGCCTGGACTGGCCCATCTCCCCCGGCCCCGGCCCCAGCTCGTGTCATCACCGACGCCAGCCGGCGTTGCTTCCCACAGCTCGCCTTGAGAAATGGCACACGGCTGTATAGTCACATCCTGATTCTCAGTAACCGCCTAAGCAAGAGTGCTTCATAGTTTCAGTGTGATTCATAGTCAGCCGATTTCAGCATGATCCTCTGACGGTGTTACCCAAAACTGACGACAAAGTTCAGGAATATTCATTTCCAAAAGTACCACTATTAACACTGTCACCATAATACATTAGTAAGGGTGTCATAAGCCACATATGGTGGCAGACGTCTGTAATCCCAGCTACTCAGGAGGCTGAGGCAAGAGGGCCCATAAGTCGGAGACCACCCTGGCAACTTAGCAAGACCCTGTCTCAGAATAAAAAGGACTGACGTTTAGCCCAGTCTGAGTTCAAGACCCAATACCACAAAGAGTGATAGTATTTTGCATTTACATAAAGACTTAAAATCAACCTGTTTGTGATTCCTTCCAAGTTACACATATTAGCCACCAGTGCCAAGGTTTGGCTTCTCAGCATCAGACTTCAAAGCCAAAGACTCGAGGAGCGCACATGAGCAAAGGGAAAGTACTCTTATGTTTGGGGGTTTTTGGCTCTGCAGCTCGGACAAGTAGAAGATGCAGAGTTGGGCTCTGCTGCTGCTGAGCGGACAGGCTGGGCCTGCAGAGCACAGCTCCTCGCCCAGCCCAGTGCATCCCTGCACACGGCTTCCTCCTGCAGTCCGGGTAGCCCGGCCCGTGCAGCAGGGCTGGACTCAGAGAGGGTCGGACAGGCCTTCCAGCTGCTGCCCAGTCAGGATCTAAAAAGGGCTGTCAGACTTGCCTCCTTAAGAGTGTCCTTTAAAAGTAAGTCATTTACCTTACACAGCTTGATAATCTCTTGGATTTATAAGTGGGTTCTTTTCTCTTTGACTTCAGTTCCTCAGCATTGGGGGCTGGTTGCAGGGCTCTGGCACCTTCAGTTTTCCTGCTTCTCGGGGCTGGATGTGTCCCCCGTGGTCGTCTGGTAGCGGCATCCATCAGGGCCTGAGCCACCACATCAGCAGCTCCTGGGAAAAGCCTTCCTGCCCCAGCACAAACCTCAGAGGGCAGGGCACACCGCCTCCTCCCCACCAGTCTCCGTGTCGGGCTGAGCCAGCCTCTCTTGTCTGCTCCTCTTGGTTCTTCTCCTCTTGGGTACTTTTGTATAATCCTCCCTTAAAGACTTGTAGGCAGCTGCTTCTTGCTTTGGGCCTTCTCACCCTTGTTCACTCTCCTCGGCTCATGTCTTCTCTAAGAAATAGTATTTTATACCAAGTGTGGTCTAGTGAATCAGAAAAGGATTGTGCAGCCTTATCTTCTCCATCCTGTTTGTCAGTAGGCATCGAAATCAGAGTTGCCTTAGGTTGCACTAAACAAGTGCTTTGGCCTAGAGTTTGTACTGACAAGACAGATCTTCCCTTACCTGACTTCTTTCTTGTGCCGCTGACGCTCAGAAGCGTAACATTTATCCCTGTGAATTGTGCTTTCATGCATCTTGGCTGCCTGTTTGTTCTGAGCTCTTACGGTAGCTTTGTGTTGCTGGCAGTGTATCCTCTGCGTCACAGATTCATCTTTTTCTAAGCCGTAAAACATCATGCACAGTGAGATTCGTGCGAGTGTGCATAGTCCTGGCTGCCGTTGAGGTCCGCCAAGAGAGCCAGCCATGCACCTGCTTTCCTTCCCTGCTCTGTCTTGCCCATGAGGGGCCTCATCCTTTCTAAGTGATCCCGGGGACTGGCAGATTCAGCGCTACCATTGCCCGGTGTCTCTATAATCTGTTTCAGAAAGCATCATAGCGAGCTACCTGCACGTGCAACATCCAAACTTGGCAGCCCAGAAACAGTTTCTCCTAGAAATCGCCAAAAATTAGCAAAAGAGAAGTTACCTACCAACGAAAAAGTTAGTGAATCTCCCCCGTTAGGAAGGTAAGTCCCTGCTTGCACCTCAAGTCATGTTGGACGCCCCGAGGCTCTTGGGGGAAGGCTGCTCTCTTCCTAAGCGGCTTTCAGATTTTCATCTCACCAAATAACTGTCGGGGGGAAGTTGGGACAGGCACAGAAGGGGTCCGCAGTGGCCTCGCTACTTGGCCGGGCCACACGGGCTTGTCCTTGACACGGGAGCCCTGTCTGGCACCTCGGCCCAGCAAGACCAGAGGCAGGGCAGTCTTCTTCCCCGGATCACAGGGCTGCGTGCAGGGTCGTCGGCACGGGGAGAGCCGCTGCTGCTCTAGCCAGGGCACTGCAGAGTGATGAGGTCGCAAAGCTGAACGTCCTCTTTCAGCACAGCCACCGCCGCCTTGCGCCTTGCACCGCAGCCTGTGTCACCTCTGCTCCCACAGGCTGTGCTGAGCCGAGCCCCGCTCTACTCCCACTTGTGCTAGTGAGGTGTGCACCCGCCCCACTGCCTTGGAAGCCGGGCATCCTCTTCTCTGGCTCCTGTGCAGGGCGCCTTCCCTCCCGCTTCGCCCAGCCTGGTTTCTTGTGTTTTCGGTCCGTACTAGGTAGGTAAGGCAGGCGGCTTGGCTGAGGTGCCTTTGTGTCTGCACTCTTTCTTCCTTTAGATCGGGTTCTTGTCTGATTTCCTGTACACCATAGCACTCAAAACTAAGCCTGTCCTGACGCTTCTTACCACAGGTCGATCTTACAACACACTAGTAACATGCTCTGTTATCCCGTAGCTTCAGAAGGCAAGTGTGCTTTCACTTCCCTCGGGAGTTGCAGTGCGGCACTGTATTTGTTACACGTGCGGGAAGACTGTCAGATCTGCGTGCCTGCGTGCGTGGGTGCTTCTCAGGGTCTGTCTGCACAGAGGCAGGCCAGGCTCCTCTGTCGGGCCGGCCCTGAGTCTGGAGTGTGACAGACCCCCAAGTGACAGGTGCTACTGGCTGGTCACAGTCCATGCTCTGCCGAGTGAGGGCCCAGCCCGCCTGCCAGGCTCCCACGGCCTGAGTCCACACTGCTGTTCCCTGCCAGTTCGCCAGTGCTGGCTTCCACGGGCACAAGTGGAGTGGTTTATTAACAAGCACTGGTTTTTTTTTTTTAAGTGCATGTTCGCTGGACACCATGGTCACATTCATCCTGGGGAATTCGTGCCTGAACGTAATGCATCTTGATTCTTTCTGTCCCATTCCCTTCCAGCCCTTCAGTCCTTCCCCTCTCCTTTTATAAAAGATTTGTTTCCCTTTTTTTCTTTCATTCCGCCTTTTTTTTAAAATCCCTTTTCCCTTCCTTCCCTTCCCTCTCTCCTGTCCCTTGTTCCCCTTCCCATTTGCTTTTTTTATTTTGGTACCAGGGATCGAACCCGGGTCCTTGCGCTTGCGCAGCAAGCGAAGAAACCACTGAGCTAAATCCCCAGCACCCCCCTTCCCATTTGAACAAGTTCTTCCTGCTTTTCAATATCTATCTAGCACTTTGCTCCTTATTTGCCCTTTGAGTTTCTCACACAAGAGAAAAATGATGTTTAAGTTTGTGCATCTGGTTTATTTCACTGAAAATTATGGTATTTCTATACAGTGGAATACTACTATGCCATAAAGAAGGATGCTTGAGGCATTTTTAGGTAAATGGATGCATCTGGAGAGCAGGCACTGCTTCTTAGCCATTCTCAACCTATGTGTGCACACCATTAGACAAGAGCCACACCATCTCCCTGATACAAGCTCCATCTGCCTGTCTAGCAGTTCTGCTTTCCCAAGTCTTTTCACTCATTGTAACCCCTTTACTACTTGCTACCATATGTTGAACATTGCAGTGGGCACTGGAGTTAGAAGAGTGAATAAATGTCAGCAGCTGCCCTGGAGAAGCATCTGATTGAAGTCTGATATGCATCAGACTTTCAAACTTTTTTGACAGCAGCCCACAGTAAGAATATATTTTGCAGTATCTGGTGCTCACATTCCTGCCACGGTAAATGAGACAGAATTTTCATGAGTCCAAGTTAATAGGTCTGATAGTGACAGTATTTTCTCTTGTGTTCTGTTAATACGTTAAAGTACTGACTATGCCCTGCATTTTGAAAAAGCCCAGCAGGTAAACTGAGATGGTGAGCACTGTGGTGATAATCCAAAGAGCTGTGGGCTTCTCGGGGGAGCAGCTTGCTGTGTGATGCACAAGGCCTCCCCGAGGAATGGCTTTAACTGGCGCTTAGCAATGAGCAATGTGGAGCTGGATGCGGAGCTGATGCACACCTGTAATTCCAGCTACTCTGGAGGCTGAGGCAGGAATATCACAAGCTCAAGGCCTGTCCAGGCACCTTACCCAGAGCTTGTGTCGAAACAGGAAAGGGTTTGGAGTGTAGCTCAGTGCCCCTGGCTGTGGTCCCCAGTACCACTGAAGGGGAGGGAGCTTGCTCAGGTGCTAGTTTAGGGTAATTTTTATTTTTCCTGAGGATGATTTTTAAAACAAAGTATCACACATCAAAGCATGAAGCTGTAAAAAGAAATCCTTTTTTTTTTTTTTTGAGAATGGTAGATGTTTGGCCGAGGTGTAATCCAGGACAGTAGAAAACTGAAAGTTTGTGTGCTGTGTTCTGGGTGACTTTATCCTGAAAACTTAAGAGCTGCTGTGGATTTGATATATCTAAGGTATTTCTAAGGATATAACAATCTGGGGTCTGATGAAGGACAAGGATTGCTGGTGCTGACGGCCTTGGTTGGATGCTGTCTCCTTTGCTGGCATTACGGGCTCTACTGCGTAGCATTTCACTGGGAGACCTGTTTTTGTACTTGGTCAGAACCTCGGCTGCATTCCCACGGTCCTGCTAGTTGTCTCAGCGTGGAACAGTGTCTGTGTGTGTATCGGTAGGGCTAGCAGTTGATCTGTTTGTTTTGTAGATAGAACTCGGACCAAGTGGAAAGCTGACTTGACCAAGGTCAAGAGCAGAGGTGTCAGAGCTGGAGCCAGGACCCACCTTCCACCTTTCCCTGGGCCCTGTGTGTATGAGATTCTCAGCAAATAGCCACCCATCTCCAGCTCCTTTTCCCATATAAATGTTACCGGGAGTAACTCTTCCTAGTAGTCAAGGACAACCTGTTGTATTTCTTAAAGAACGCCCAGAGTACTGGAAACAGCTGTTTTTAAGTTCCATCATTGCCTTGCCTTTTGTGTAATGCAGATCAAAGACACAGCTGTCCCCTTCTACCAAGCGCAAGAGAGAAGTGAGCCCTCCTGGGGCCCGGACCCGCGGCCAGCAGAGAGTAGAGGAAGCCCCTGTGAAGAAGGCGAAGCGGTAATGCCGGCCCCTCGTCCCCAGCTTCCGAGGAGCACAGCGGAGAGAAAAGGGACAGGACAGGGCCGCGTCTCTCGGCCATAGGCTTCTGTTTTTCTTTCTTAACCAAGGAAAGGGTATGCATGTGCTATAAGTTCCTAGGTGCAAGCTTTTCCTTATTATGTTTTAAACAGCTTTATAAACTACTGTTCATAGAAGATATTATGTACATTTATTTCAGATAAAGGAAAATAAGTTTACTTTGTATCTGAACTCAAAACAAAGTAGTTGTATATTTTAACATTCGAAATTGGGATCTCCCAATGTGACACATCACAAAAGCAAACCCTCCCAGCCCATCAGACGCCAGGCTGCCGACCGGTGATCTGTGTATAGTATATAAACATGTAAAAATAGGCTGTATTTTACTCTATGTATGATGCTAATCAATGAACACTTTATTTATTTTACAGAGAAAACTTTATCTGTGAACTTTACTATATATCTGTTTATTTTATTTTATTGGTTTTTTTTTAATAAAAAAGGTTTTAAATGCTATGCAGTCATTAGTAGAAACCTTTGTAGGACTCTGCCTGCCCCGTAACTATCTGACTATGACCTGGCAGGAAATACAGACACTCGCATGTATCCAAGTAAAGTAGTGTAGCAAAAGAAAGGGTCTCCGTTGCTTTTCTGTTCAGTTGTGACTGCTTTTTAAGAATGTAACTTGTTTTTAGATTATTACACTCGCATCTGTGACTTTACCACCAGCCCCTGTGACGTTAGATCCTGGTTCAGGTAAAGTCGGCCCATCCTCTGCAGCAGGAGTCCTCTGTCACGTTCTCCCCGCTCTGTGCTTTCCTGGCTTCCTCAAGATCCCGCATCTTGTCTCTCAGCGAAGGGAAGTGGTCACTCCCACCAACTCAGCTTCAGGATTTTACGTTGTTTTTATACACAGTTATTTCAGGAGAGAAGCTGGTTTTACTGCCAGGTTCTTTTTTAAACATGTTTTAACTCCCATACGAACAAACTGTGCAACTTAAGTTTTTCATAAAATTAAACTTTTCTTAAGGTCAAATTTGTCTCTTGCAATGATGTGATGAGTTGCCAAATAATTGAGATTATTTTTAAATGTTTTGTTCATATTCTTGTTTTATAATTAAAATATACATTCAGTGTGTGTGGGTTTTTTGTTTGTTTTTCTTTTTGACTCAATGTAAGGTGGATATTTCTGTCATTTTACATGGTTTCTTACTGAGATTTTATATATAAATTATAAATTGTTTCCCTAAAACTTGAGTGGTAAGAATTATTTTTCCTGTGTTAATTTTTTTCCTCTGAAAACTTTCTTCTCTGCAAGTTATTGATCTTAGATATGTTGTTCCATTTGCACATGCAAATATATATCGTGTCTAGAAGGGACCATGGCACCAAGAACGTGAGAGTTTTTCATTTGTACCTGTAGGGGTGAGTTTTAACCAAAGCTCAAAAAGCTAGCTCTCTTTCTTAAAATCAGATGAGGTAGAAGTCAGACTAGGTTCCAACGGCTCTGTTTCCTTGACTCAGTCTTTGCATTTGTCACTCTTAGATTGGTTCACCAGAAGTTCACGGCTGACATTGGCCCCTCGGTGTGGGTGTGAAACCTCTGGTGGTGGAGTAATGATGCTGCCTGCTGCAGGCATGACCGGAGCCGGGGCTGAGGAGCTGATCTCTTGATAAGATTGGGACTGGACTGGAAGTCAGCAGGAGTGCTCAGTAGCTTCCGGTGCCTCGGAAACCCAAGCAGAAAGGGTGTAACACCCATAAGGGTCATTGGAAATAAGTGGGAGTAGTTCTTGACCATGCTGATGATTGGATACCTTTATCATTTAGTAGAGGAAGGCGATGGGGAATGCAAACCATCCTACAATTCACAGGACAGTCCTAGAGTTCTTTTTAAAAAGGAGAAAAAGATAATCTAAGTCAAAAATGGACTAGCACCCCCCACTGTTAACCCACTGAGGAACATGCAGATCATCCCGATTTGCCATTTCCCTGGCCCGTCTGTGACGAGGCTGGGACAATCAAATGAGGCTTGTTGAAGGTAGCAGAGGCCCACGACAGGGTGAGGGACTCACAATCAGCAGCTGCCTCCTCTTCCCTTGTTGCCAGTCCACAGTGGCCCTTCCTTTGGTACTCAGGCCTCCCTTGGTTATGCCCTTCAACCTCTACTACCTGGACTCCTTAAATACTAGCACCTAAGACTCACCAGAGCCGCCCCAGTTGGCACTGGCCAGTGTGTGACCCTCCTCTTCCCTCGGAAATCTCAGTTGGTAGCAAAGTGGAGACAGCTCTTAGCCCCCGGCCCAGGCCACAGGGTTCTTAGCTGCCAATGAGAGGGAGCACGGAGCTGCCCTGGCCCTAGGACCGTGATCCAGAGCCGAGCTTTCCTCCAAACCCTGCAGTCCATGAAACCCAACTATCGGGCAACACAGAGATGGCTCTAATTGGAGGAAATTCGGGAAAAGTTTGCTTGCTTGTTAGTCTTGACCTGTTTTATTGAGTCACACTGTGCAAGAGCACCATACATTTTCTAAAATCACTGCTTGGCCATCTTTCTGTTCTGCAATCAGGAGCAAGATGTTTTTCAGACTATACTGACAGACACTCTCGGGAAGAAGAAAACTTGTTCTGTAGCCAGCATCTTTTCACTGAAACTGCTCTGCTGGGAAGACACACCTTTGCTCAGCCCCTGCGTTTCGCTCAGCCCTGGGGCCACAACGGCACAAGTCTTCTGGGGGCGGCAACAGTGTGGCAAACAGTGCGGCCATGCAGGCAGGGGTGGTGTCTCCGCACAACACAATGGGGAGAAGGTCACCTTTTGGAGAAGGACAAAGGATTAACTCCTGGCAGAAGTATTTTCTTGTTTCTTCAGTATAAAGTGGGGTTTCAAGCAAGCTTGGAATCTAGACAAGACAGCATTTTGCAGGCCAGGGAGCAGGAGTGGAGACAGAAGTGTCATTTTTGTACCAACTCAACCTTTTCGAGACCTGGCGGAAGCCTATACAGGTAATTGCATAGCTCTGTTTCACATGAATCCACTGTTTCACACTTAATAATTCACATTAAGAAATTGTGAGATTCAATAGGGAAGGCTGGAGGGGGTGAAGGGAGGGCAGGGAAATGGGGAAAAAATAAGAACTAAAGATACATCATGTAAAGGTACAAGATCCCAACGAGGAATGTAACATATCTAAAATGTACCAATAATCTTAATAAAAATTTTTTTAAAAATTGTGAGAGAAGTCTAGCTAGCTGATTCATCTGAAATTTCCTAAGATTACTAAATCTCTGCTTCCTCCCCCAGACTTCCACATGAAAACTTAGATACCCCTGGAAATAGATGTCACATAAAACCTTCAAAACCCTTAACTCGGTTTCATGACAGCCCTGTGGAAGGATGCCAGACTCCGGGGTATAGTGAGGGAGACGCAAGGGGGTTGCGCAGTTGCAACACTCACCCGGAGCAGGCTGGGACTGGACCCAAATCCTGCTGGTCTTGTGCAGGGCTTTCTTCTGCTTTGGCCTGGCCAGAGCCCACAGTGGCCTGAGGAAGGCTGTGAGGTTCCCTCCCATTCTCCTAATGACATACTTGACTTTTTTTTAAAGCCAACAAAAAATCTAAAGGTTTCTAAGTAATAATACTTTGATTTTTCAAGTTATGACTTAATTGTGGAAAATTAGACTTAACAATAAGCAAAAGGAGGAAAACATCACCTGTCCCGAAGTCAGTATCACTCATCTTTGATGAATAATTCTTCCAGACTTTTCCTATTTGTGTCAACGCAAAAACTCATGCACTGGAGTCACCAGCACACAAGATGCTGTTGCTATTGTAAAGTGCACCACCACGCCCAGCTAGCCAATTTTTTAAAAATAAGGTTTTTGTTTGACATTTACTAATATAGGACTTGATTTTTACCTATCAAATGGATTAAAAAATACTTAACTGTGGCCTTGTACAAAAAGGCATCTTTTCATAATTTTGTTTCCCAAACTTATTTCCTCTTCTATGAAATGTCTATTCATGTCTTTTGCTCATTTTGCCATTTAGTTCTTTGTAGCACTCAATTCTGGCAAGCCCAGTACCCAAAAGAACCTCAGCCAAGCTCTCCCAAGCTCTTCTAGATTTTGAGATGGTCCAAGCCCAGAAGGCATCTTGCTGAAGTCAGCCCTTACCTTGTCTCCGAGTCAGTGCAGTCTGAACCGGCCAGCCACCGTGTGCTGGGGCCTCCACACGGCCTTCCTGGCAGTGCCTTCACTTTTCTGCTCTATGGGGTCTCCTAAGCCAGCATCCCACATCTTCCTCTTGTTTGTTTTCTCCCATCTTCTGATGAAGTACCAGCAGCATTCTGATGAATAACACAGGATCACTTGTCCAGCCAGACTTGGGAATCAGCAATCTTATCCAGCACCAAGCTCCACTGCTGACTTCAGTGCTGTAATAGTGGTGAGGCAGAGAGGAATGGCCAGTCTAGCTTCCCACTTTCTCATCCACATCCACACACTGCGGGCTAACAAAGTCTGCAGCCACAGTACTTGTGTAGAAAGAAGCCACTTCGATCATGGGATATCTGTACACAGCTGTTGTATCTTCTAGGGAGCTGTGCTCCATGAATCAATAGATTCTAAAGATGTTTGTGTTTGCTTTGCTGTTGCCATAAACGATCCTAGAGATTCCAGGTCTCAATCCAAACACATCCTGCAGTTATCAACTCTCCCTCGCCAAACACTGGCTTTCCCCAAGCCCTGTCATTGACAAGGGTACAAGAATGTGTCACCTGTCCCTTTTCTCTCCCTGGTCACCTCTCCAATCATCGGACCGTAGTCCTGATTCTAACCATATTCTTCCCACCACATTATTGAATCAATGTTTGTACCTTATTTCAGTCATGGTCCAGTAATGTATTAGAAACCGCACCACTTATTTTAGCAAATAATTTAATACTGGAATTTAGCTTAAACAACTATTAGAGAACTAAAAAGCAAGTGAGTAATGCTAATGTGATGCAGAATAATTTCAGAAAACAGTCATCACCACTTCTGGGCTTAGGGGAACAAATGGACGTCATTGGGTAGCTTCTCAGCCCTGCAAGTAGAGGGGGGCCAGGGGTGACCCTGCCCCATTGGTGCTGATACCCCTGAGTCAGGACAGTGTGGCTTCTCCAAGAGAGCAGGGGGGAAATAGAAACTGTAGTCAACTCCAACTGTGATGCTGAAAGAGAGACCAAACGGGAAGTAAGATCCTATATCACCCTCAGCGTCTAGACTCCTTACTCCCTGTGATGGTGAACTTCAGGAGTTCATTGACTGCATTAGGGAAGATCTCGAAATGGGAGAGCATTATTTTCAGTTGTGTCTGCAACAGTGTGTCTTGGGTGATTAGTGCGTGAGTCTGAGACAACTGAGTGAGGAATATTCACCCTCAAAGTGGCACTGTCCAGTCAGGGTGAGGCATGTGAGAGAGAACATTAGAAAAAGGGCAAATTATCTGTCATCCCCAGGAACTGGAGTATACTTCCTCTCCTGCCCTTGGCTCTCTGTTCTGTAGACTCCAGATTTACACCACAGGCATCTTGGAGTTCCCAGCTCTTTGGCCTCAGAGACTTACACCACCCGCTTCCCTGTTTCTGAGGCCTCCAGACGTGGACTGAGCCTGCTACCAGCATCGTAGGGTGTTTGCAGGTGACTTATGGGGCTTCTCTGCTTCCGTAATCACATAAGCCAATTCCCTAATAAGTCCCCGGTTATGTATCTTTATCTAGACCTTATGTCCTTCATGTATATTCATATCTAATATTAATTCTGTTTCTCTGGAGATCCCTGACCAATAGAGATTGGGGCCCCAGGAGTGTTTCTAGTGGAACGGAATTTTAAAGATTAGTTTCCTTAGTTTGAGGTTCTCCAGAATTAGGATTATACCTAAAAATGGTGAAGATTCTACTTGTAATAGTATAGAGAGCACTGACATTCTATAGTGTGAACTCTTTATAGATATCAACTTAAATTTAAAAAACACAAAGATCCTCTAAAATAATTTGGGAAAACTTATTTGGGAAAAAATTGCAATCGAAGTAGCAGAGCATTATAATCAGAATATGCATGCCACTGTAAGCTATGAATATATTCGAGGAGGTTG